ACAACCTTATGCATTTTGTAAAATTAAAAAAAATGACTTTTTCAAATAACCCGGGCAATGCCGGGTACCCAAGCTAGTATTTCAAAAATACCCTATACTTTATGTGTTAGTTTTTATTTTTAACTTGAAATTAGTATGACAAGTTTTATTAAGTTAGCTTTAACACATGCCCTAGGAGAGTAAACATGTAACCATAACCAGTATTGTGGCAGTAATTGGAGGCATAGGAGGTCTTCCATTCATTTTAAAGTTAAGCTTTTCTTTGGTTTGTCAGATGCTAAATACAAAGTAGTCAATATAATACTGTCTCTTCTGTTTTCACAATTTCTCTGAATAAACCAGTTTAGTCTTTGGCAATAGGGAAGCAATGCTGAATGCCATTGCCTTGAAACTTGCAGTAGTGTCAGTAGGGCTTTGCAGGGAGGATTAAATAGAAGGTTGGCAGAGTAGTAGCATTATAGCACATTGGTTATCTCAAGGCATTGTGCTTTTAAGCAGCAATCCTTTCCACATTTTAGGCTTCACAAGGATTGTAGTTGACATTCCAAGCAGACTTACATGAAAGTAAGCTTTATTAAGCTCTGGGCACTTCACTTCTGTATAAGCAAGCACTGTTTCTGTGTCTACTAGCAAGATATAGGATTTCAGTCATAATATAGATTTAACTTGCTATCCTGCAGTGTGATCTTTTGATGGCCTTGGTATCATAGACATCATGCTTTATGAAGTGTTCTTGTGATTGGAGAAAGGATGTTAGTGGCATTTCCAAACATAGGTCACCCAAGTTAGGCACCTACTATAAGAGCATAAATACAAGTGACCTAATTTCATTTTCTGTTTATTTGCAGTGATGCTAAGCAACCATATGCACCTACTGCCAAATCTAATAATTCCTCCTGTATTTAGGGGTTGGAAACTACTTTTTATTTGAAATGCTATAGGAGTATAAAACCACCCAAATAAGAAGTATTTAGCAACATTAAGACAATATTTCCTTGGTGGACCATAGGCTTCAAGCATAGTCTTCTTAATTTTATTATTTTACTTTAATCCTCCTTTCTCCTAATATAGGGTCTCAAGGCAGTAAACACTAAGAATGAATGAATGCTCATAAAATAATGTAAATAACATGAAAATATAAATATAACAGAAAAAATCAAATAATTTGTTATATTACAACCATTAGCTTTAAAAATGTTATATATTAAAACTTTATTCCAAGCTGGATCTACACTGCTCTATATCCTAGGATCTGATCCCAGATTATCTAGTTTGAACTGGATTATATGAGTCTACACTGCCAGATAATCTGCAATAATCTTCAATAATAATCTGAGATCATGTCCTGGGTTTAAATGCATTTGGCAATCTAGATCCAGCCCTAGTCATACCACCTTTTAAAGTCCAGTCTCATCAGTGTATGAACACCTGATCACAGAGAAATGTTTTACCAGCTGATGAAAGGCAATTAGGGGTCCATCCTGGTCTCTTTAGGAGGGGTTCCAGAGTTTGAGATCAGCCATGAAAAAGACTTTAAAACTGTGATAATGGGGAAGACAGCTCATCTCTCCTGGTCCTTAATGTTATAATCAGGGGGGCACATAGGAACTATTCCTCAAAACCTCTGGAATATAGTGTCACATTTGTATAGAAAGAGTAAGCAGAGTGACAGAAGTTAATTTAATTAGATCATCGGTTCCCAAACTTTAGTCAGCCAGATGTTTTCCACTTCAGACCCCAAAATTCCAAAACCACTGAAGGACCAATGATTGGGAACCACTGCTCTAGATCAAAGCAGCTCTAGGATTGGGCATTCATGGAGATGGACACAATGCCATAGAGTGTATATGCTCTGTCCACAAGTGTTGGTAAGTTTGTTAGAGGGTTCCAAGAGAAGACCTGATAAATTAAATTGATAGTGATATATTTTTTGAACTGAGTAGGTGCAGAGAGATTCTAAACTATTTATATCATGAAAGAATATGTTTCTTCTGTATCATAGATATCAGCGTGCGTATCTCTCTCCCAAGTTCACATGCCCAGTCACAACGTTGTCACCCCAGAAACTTTCTCCTGGGAATAGAGATGCTATTTCTAGGCCACTGAAAGGTTACAGTGAGTGTAGGCAAAGATAAACCAAGATTGGGAACAAGACTGTCTACTGGTACATGCTCCTTCCCATTGGAAACAGGAGCAGCTCATCTGTGGAAGCAGTCCCAGGAGTCAATCCCCACAGGGCCCATGGTTTAAGGTCCGGATGTTTCCAGGTGTTTTACTAATCTGGAGCAAACTGGGAAATCCCAGTTTTCTCTGGATTAATTCATTTTTACCTGAGGTGTCATTTGGATACCTCAGGTAAAACTGAGACAGGTCCTAGGATATGAGATTTTCTGGAAGGACCCTCTCTCTTTAAATGTTGTTAAACAATGTTTGCGGCAATATTTATTTATTTATTTTATTTCACGCATTTCTACCCCGCCCTTCTCAACCCCCAAGTGGGGGACTCAGGGCGGCTTACAAAAGGCACAATTCAATGCCAACACAAACAATAAGATAAAACATATATAAACAGCAATTATAAACAATTAAAACAATCAATTATACATCATAATCAATAAAACCAATCTAATGTTCAACGTTCGCCAGCTCAGAGTCCGTAAATTCATTCTACATTGTCAAATCCATTCAATTCTAGTCGTCATTGTCCTTTGTCTATCTGCCAGATTACCCAAAAGCCTGGTCCCATATCCATGTTTTTAATTTCCTTCTAAAAGAGAGGAGGGATGTCGATGACCTAATTTCCCCGGGGAGTGAATTCCACAGGTGAGGGTCCACCACCGAGAAGGCCCTGCTCCTCATTCCCACCAACCTCACTTGTGATAGAGGTGGGGCCGAGAGCAGGGCCTCCCCAGAAGATCTTAAACTCCATGGCGGGACGTAGAGGGAGATGCGTTCGGACAGATATGCTGGGCCGGAGCCGTATAGGGTTTTGTAGGTCAAAACCAGCACTTTGAATTGTGCTCGGAACTGGATCGGCAGCCAGTGGAGCTGACATAACAGAGGGGTAGTATGCTCCTTGTATGATGCTCTGGTGAGTAATGTGGCTGCCACCCGCTAGACTAATTGAAGTTTCCAAACAGTCTTCAAAGGCTACCCCACGTAGAGTGCGTTGCAGTAATCTATTCGGAATGTAACAAGAGCGTGGACCACTGTGGCCAGATCTGACTTCCCAAGGTATGGGCGCAACTGGCGCACAAGTTTTAATTGTGCAAAAGCTCTCCTGGCCACCGCTGAGACCTGGGGTTCCAGGCTCAGCAATGAGTTCAGGATCACTCCCAAGCTGCGAACCTGCGCCTTCAGGGGGGAGTGTAACCCCATCTAACACAGGCTGTAACCCTATGCCCTGTGCAATAGCACACTTAACAATACATTTGGTAGAAAACATTTTTAAAATTACACGTCTGATGTTTCAACTGATCAGTTTTCATGTTGTGAGTGGTGCTATATTTTCCAAATAGAAAATATGTTATTGTTTTCTTTGTTTCTTATGTGTGATTTGGATTTAATGTTTATATATTTGTTTATTTATGTCTACACTGAGATGAGCAACAAGAACTCCTGGGATTACCAAATCTATATTTGGGACCTTTTTCAGTTTCCCTGGAACATTATTTTTCTGCCTCCCTAAAGGATGAGTTGCCTCTCTAGAAATTCTTTTTTCCTTATCATAAAGACAAAATAAAACCCATTTTGCAAACTTAAAAGCAGACTGTTTTTGGAAGTGCTTGATTGGCAGCTTCTATGGTCCTGGAAGGGCCTGAAGAATAATGACCTTCTAGAGACACTCACCACAGATATATCCATATGATAATGTTGTATTCCACTCCCATTCCATTGGCATACCCATAAGATCTTCTATTATTAGTTTTTTTTTAAAATTGTATGTTAAATATCTTGATTGTGTTGCTCTGTAGAAAAAAAATCAAATGTTTCATATTTCAGTCCCTTTTCTGAAGGAATAATAAACTGCAAAACTGAAGATGTACATGCCTTTGTTATACGCATATTGGGAGAAGTGCTCTTATTGTTGCCTTCCAGCTCGAGTTTTCTTTTGAAGTGTGGAACTAAATTAATAATAGAGTAGTTGGAATCCCTGGAGTCACCATCTAGCAAGTTAATGGCCTACACAGTGAAGCTGAAGACCTATATATAAAAGTTTTAGCTTGGGAGGTTTCAGGTATGCACTGAATCTATTAATGGGAATGACAGAGTTGGTAGAATGGATTAGTCTTATTCTACTCAGAAAGTAATTTATAGCAAGCTTAGGCCCCCGACTCAGGAAACACATTTAGTGTAGTTTTGAATCAGAAAGGTTAATAATTCCAAGGAAGAGTTAACCTGATTTATTTCTGGTAGCATAGCAATGATGGAATGTATGTGAGGGAGTAAATATAATGGTATAGTAATAAAAGAAAATTTCAACTTTGTGTGAACTCACTGCTCAGACTGATATATTTGTTGGAAGCAGTTATATGTTACCTTAAAGGGTATAAGTTTTGTGCTACAGAAATTCCTTGGCTTGAAGTATGAAGTTGGATGTTTGAAAGACAGAGGCAGGCACTCACTATATTGTTATATGCATTCACAGCTACAAAAAAAATCAGATAATAATTATGTATACCTAATATGAATTCCTTGCTGAAAATAAAGAATTCTGATTTCTGTAAAAGCTAATACTCCCCATCCTGTCCAGTTCATGATTAACTGAATAGGACACAACAGCAGTGCATTGTACAGAATTGATTAATGATGCTGTTCCCATTACTTCTTAAGATGTAATTTATAATTGGTACCAACCTGCTGACATTGCTTATAACATTATTCCAGAGAATGTATTTCAGTGAACTCTGCATTGAGTTGAAATGGCTGATTCCCTCTGTATTTTGGAAAGAGTGAAGGATAAATCACTGGATGCCTGACATTGTTTTTTGTTCTGACAGGATGAGCTCGATGAACTCCGAGCTGAAATGGAAGAGATGCGTGACAGCTACCTTGAAGAAGATGTTTACCAACTGCAGGAGCTAAGGCGAGAGCTGGACCGTGCAAACAAGAACTGCCGCATTTTGCAGTATCGTCTCAGGAAAGCCGAGCAGAAAAGCTTGAAAGTTGCACAGACGGGTCAAGTTGATGGGGAGCTAATTAGAAGTTTAGAACAAGATCTAAAGGTGAGAGGAGCACTTGTGTCTAACACTATCCTTGTCAGCAATGCAGTCTTAGACATCTTTCCAAAATTCTGCATGTAGAAGCCAAAGGCAGAGCCTTCTAAAATAACCTGTTGGGAGCCCCCGGTGGTGCAGTGGGTTAAACTGTTGAGCTGCTAAGCTTGTTGACCGAAAGGTCGCAGGTTCGAATCTGGAGAGCAACATGAGCTTCCACTGTCAGCCCTAGCTTCTGCCAGCCTAGCAGTTTGAAAACATTCAAATGTGAGTAGATCAATAGGTACTGCTCCAGCAAGAAGGTAACGGTGCTCCATGCAGTCATGCCAGCCACATGATCTTGGAGGTGTCTACGAACAATGCCCGCTCTTCAGCTTAGAAATGAAAATGAGACCACTCCCCAGAATCGGACACGACTGGACTTAATGTCACCTTTACCTTTACCTTACTAAAATAACCTGTAAAAAGAATGGAAGTTTCAAGTGTGTACGGAATGAACATAGCAGCAATGTGGCACAAGAGACATGTAAGACTACAAGGAAACTCTTGATGATTGTAGAAGTCATAGTTTTTTCTGCATGGAGCACCAACAGGCCTTGTGAGTAACTGAATGACTTTCAGGTATCTAGCATTAAGGGATCTTCAAATGTAAGTAGCTGAGACCGAAGCACTTCAGAATACAGGAAATCATATTTGATGAGAGAAGACATATATTCTCTCCCCTGATGAACTCCTTGCATTGGAAGGCTAACATGTTATAAAGAGGTGTCGCTGACGAATACCTATCTCCTAAAATGTGAACTTTCCCTTTGAAAGGAACTTTTTCCATGAAGGAACATTCAAGTAGACCTTTTCCCTTTCTGCATTTGGGAAGAACATTGCCAGAGGATGACTGTGTTAAAATGGAATTCTGTTGTCCCAGAAATGAGGACAAGTTACCCACAGAACAAGACTGAACATTCCTTAGTAGGCACTGTGTATTGAGAAGAGAGTAGGTGTATGTGTGCATGTGCTGTTCTTTAAATCCTTTGCTGCCCTGCTCTGCTGTTTCTGTTGTTGTTTTTATCAGAAATCTCTATATGAATGGAAAATATTATAATAATAACAAAAATTATACTGATAATAGTATTAGATATACAAAATGTAATTAATTAAATTATGTGGTATTTTAATATCACAGGATCCTATAATGTAACTATTGTGCAATCTCAAGAACCTAATTAGTGACCTTGTAATAAAATAGTGCTCCACCAACTCCAACCTTGTAATGTAGATGGGTTGCAGTACCCTTATTCTTTTGGAGTAGGCAAAACTAATGTATTTAATATTGTTATTTAATTTTAGTGGGTAATAATTCATAACTTGCATACATATAAATACAGGGTTGTTATTTATGGATGAAGAAGAATCCCTTTTTCAGAGCTTCATTTAAATACCTTCACAAACCGTTTAGCATATTTAGCTGGGCAAATTTTCTAGAACATGTGTTATAGAATTAAGCATAAAGGCTGAAATGTGATCATGAACAAAAAAATTGGCTAAGACTCATCAAAATTCTTAGAATAATTTATAGTGCTTAGGCTGACTTTGCCAACCACGTGACAACAAAATATCATTTGGAAGATCATATTATACATGGGATGAGCAGCTCCAAGGAAGGAAAGTAAAATTAACCAATTAATAGGCTGGTTCAACTTAGTTATGGGACCCAAGCAATTGCTTTGCTGTTCCAGCTCACATGGATATGCAAAATTTGTTTACAGACTGTATCTGAATGTGTTCTTCATTTAGCAGTATTCCCAGAAATTAGAGGGGAGAATGTTTGGATTTGTCAGCGATATTGATCTTGGAGATATTGAGATACTGATCTTTGTTAATGACTGCTAAAGTGTGAATTCTGGAACTAGAAGAAAAGTATTCCATCAGCTTTAAATGGCATAGCAGAATTTAGAATAGAGAAAGGTTGTGTTTTTTTTTGTAAAAACCGAGTATAATACCTTCTGTGTATGAGATGATATGATTATTGGAAAATCAAATGTTATTGTCATATCTTGGATTAACAAATCGCAAGATCAAATTAGACTTACTACTGTTGCTACTGCTGCTGCTATTACTGCTGCTACCATCACCACCACCATCATTATGTTTATTTACATCTCATCTTTTTCCTTGTGTTCCTCAAAGTTGCTTACAAGAATTAAAAGAAACACGCAAAAGTTAAAAATATAACTAATCTATTAACTTAAAACTAGTTAAAATGTAGCAGTTAAAAACAAAATATCAACAAACTCAGATAAAACATTACAGCACAATTCTGCTTCCCTTGAGTTGTCAGTAGTCAAAGGCCTGCAAAAAATGTCTAAATCCGTCTATGGAAAGATAGCAAGAAAGATGCCAGTGTGGCCACTCTTGGAAGAGAATTCCAAAGTCTAGGAGCAGCTTTCTGGTGTCCCATCTGATTTACCTGTGAAGATGCTAGGACAGAGTGAAAGGCCTTTCCAGAACATCTTGAGATATAATCAACTTCTTATGTCCTTCAGATCATCTAGATCTAACTTATATAGGGCTTTAAAGGTCATACCTGGTGCTTTAAATTATGCATGGAAATGAACCAACAGCCAGTAAGTTATTGTAAAAAGTGAGTTGTGCGCTCCCTGTAACCAGTTCGTTAACCATCCAACTGCAGCTTTTTGGACTACCCGAGGTATTGGAATGCTTTTCAAAAGTAGCCTCATGGAGAAGTCATGACAGTAATCCAAAAGGGATGGAATGAAGGTGTGTGTCAACAGGACTAGATGCGACATGTCTTGGAATGACCACACAATTATGTGCTGTGTATTTTCCCCCTTTGCCACAGTATTTTCAGCAATGCATATAAATCTCTAAGGTAAAGGTTAGTTGTAGTTCCCTCCAAGCCCAATGGTGGGTGCATTCAATGACTTCACTATTCTAAGGATGCTCCTGTTGGTGGAAAGGAGCGGGAGGCAAGGACTTTGATGCTACCTCCCTCCTTTTGCAGTTTGAAGTTTTAGTGTGCAGTTTTGGAGATTCTTGCAATCCTCTGTGACAGTTCTACAAAAAAATGTTGAGGATTGTAGGGGGAGATGGACCCATCACTATTGCTTCTTCCATTCTATCAGTAGACAAGTTCTGTAGGAGCAAAAACATTCCAGTTGGCAATTGAAAGAGGACTTTAGATCTAAATCTGTGTATTTATATGTTATGCTTTGATAGTAGCTTACATAATTTTGTTTTATGCTTTTAAATAGGTAGCCAAAGATGTATCTGTCAGGCTGCACCATGAACTGGAGAATGTGGAGGAGAAGCGTGTGAAAGCAGAGGATGAAAATGAAGTCCTTCGTCAACAAATAATTGAGGTGGAAATATCCAAGCAGGCATTACAAAATGAGTTGGACAGATTGAAAGAGGTAAGTTGCAGGCTACAACAGATTATTAGTAAAGGCAAATTTGTACAAAAAAAGAAGAAAAATCAACCCAAATCCTTTTAAATTAAAATTTACTAACAACGCCATACCAGTCATAGGCGTTGAATATCAGATGTAATGCTAAACTATTAATTATAATATCACTTTTAAAATTAGTAAAATCTATTGCCATGGGTTTTTTTTTACTCCTGCCTCTACCTCTAGTGCAACTACAAGGAAAATATGGTAAATTATATTGTTTCTTTCTCTTTTTGAAAACCAACATCCATTTGTCATATATCTGAATCTGCATGAATTGTGTTTTACTAACTGTGGATAAAAGGTGACTTCAAACCATAGAGCAGGCCTGCACAAACTGGCAGTAGTAAGGTACCAAAATTAAATAGGCTTCGGACCATAGATAGGTTTTTAGCACCTCACTCAGGGTTTTCAAGAGTGCGCATTCCCTCAGAGCAAGCAGTAAAGTGCATTAGCCTCAGGGTGCATCCACACAGCATGGGAAATGTGCAACCTTCTGCGCTTTGTCCTGAAGTAATTTGACACCTGGAATGACCTGGGTCTTTCAGAAGACCCAGTTCTTTCCAGCTGTGGGCCCTGTGTGGATTGGGCCCGGGAATCGCATCGCATCACTTCCGGGTCCAATCCACACAGCTGCTTTAGGTCCGGAAAACCCAAGACAGCCCCATTCCTCCCAAAACTCCTTAAAAAGGGCAAAGAAGTAAAAAATACTTACCCGGCCACCATTAAAGTGCTGCTGGGTATCTCCTGGCGTATAGAAATGATGCACTGGGGGTGGGGCTGGGGGTGGGGGTGGGGGTGGGAGGAAAATAGCTCCTTGACCTCCCTTTCTCCCAGCACACCATTTCTATGCTCCAGAAGGGAGGGCCAGCAGCACTTTAATGGTGGCTGAGTAAGTAAGTTTTACTTTTTTGCCCTATGGGGGGAAGGGTTCTTTTATATCTGGGTGTCGTGCTTGAAGATCCAGAAGGGCATCTAGACACCTTCCCCCCAAAAGATGCATGGGTTTAAACCTGATTGGGTGCAGGTTAAAGGGCTGTGTGTAACTGGCTTCTGTTTCCCTGCCTCCGCTCAGGGCCCTTCCACACAGCCATATAACCCAAAATATCAAGGAAAATAATCCACAATATCTGCTTGGAATTGGGTTATCTGAATCCACACTGCCATATAATCCAGTTCAATGTGGATTTTATACACCTGTGTGGAAGGGTCTGGGTTGCCTCTATTGTCACCTTCTCTTATGGAGGGCAAAAACCTCCAATTGCACTGTTCATCTCCCCTATTTGTGATGGAGAAACTTAGCTTCCCCACAACAACTTCATGGCGAACCTATGTTTCTCCCTTAGAAATGAGGAGAATGATTGGTGGGGAGTTGGTGGTTTTTAATGCTGGAGGAGGAGGAGAAGGGGGAGACCACAGAGGCAACGAGAAGCGAAGAAAAAGCTTGTGTCTGGGATTCCCGGTTTTGTGAGATATGTGCCTTTCTTTATCAGAGAAGCTTTGATTCCACAACAAACTACAAGGTCTGGTATTCCACAGGATGGAGTTAAAGTGATGTAGGACTGCTATAAATATGCAGTGTGAGTGGTCTACAGCATTTCTAGCATTTCTCACCCTTGGCAATTTTGGTTAGGAATGCTGGAAGTTACAGTCCAACAACATCTGGAAAGCTGCACGTTGCTTTCCTCTGCTGCAGCAGGACTGAATAAATCTGGACGGTTTAAAATAGAGATGTTAATTGAGCCACATGAGGCTAAGCCTCTGTTAATTCCTCACGAAACTCTGCAGAGATGCTGTCAAGCATAAGAAGTCCTGTTTTTATGTTCAACTAATATTTTGTATGTGGAGAATAAAATGTTTATGTTACACATTTTGCCATGCAAACAGTGCACTTTTATGTTGTCTTTCTAATAATTTATATAAGTAAATTAAAAATGATGGGAAGGAAGATGATGATTGCGTGCCTTGAACTAAACTAACCAGCAATCATAATCTCACATCATTGTACACTCAGGTATAGTGTAGCAGCATAACTTTCTTGGGATTAGGGATTTATCTGTCCAAAAATTTCACAGGGTGTTTTACAGTTCAGATTTCTAAGTTTTTGTTTTAGTTTCTGTCCTTCATTAGGCTAATGAAGACAATGGGTTGTATTCAAATTTAGGGCCCTTCCACACAGCCCAGAATATCAAGGCAGATAATCCACAATATCTGCTTTGAACTGGATTATCTGAATTCACACTCCTATATTATCCAGTTCAGTGTGGATTTTATACAACTGTGTGGAAGGGCCTTAATCACACTTGCATCAAAGACATAGAAACCAATGGGACTTGCGACATAAATGCTCACTTGATTTTAGCAGGTCTCATCTATTTCTAGATATATCCCAGAAAAAAGGAATAAAAGCAGAGAGCAAAGAAATTTAATCATTGATAAAATGCATCTAAAATAATTATGAATAAAATATGAAAAATGTCAGTGTTTTTACAAAGATGCTGATCAAACTGACAAGGGGAAGGCCTTCTGTAACTGAGGTGCTTCAGTTCTGTTATCGTTTTGGAGTGTAATTCCCACCCAAACATTTCTCTGTATTTGGAGACAGAATCTCTAGAGACCAAACGGTCATGAAAATGGCGAAGTTCAATGACAACACAACATGATGAAGACAAGAACTTATAAAATAACAATTAGGGAATATGAGAGCTAAAACATCATATTTTATTGTTCTCATTTATGGTTTAATACCTGATTTACAAGGAGCCCCTGGTGGCGCAGTGGGTTAAACTACTGAGCTGCTGGACTTGCTGACTGAAAGGTTGGCAGTTCAAATCCAAGGAGCAGGGTGAGCTCCCGCTGTTAGCCCCAGCTTCTGCCAACCTAGCAGTTCGAAAACATGCAAATGTGAGTAGATCACATAGGTACCACTCCAGTGGGAAGGTAACAACGCTTCATGCAGTCATGCTGGCCACATTACCTTGGAGGTGTCTACACACAACGGCGGCTCTTCGGATTAGAACGTAGATCTGCACCATCCCCCAGAATTGGACACAACTAGACTTAATGTCAAGGGGAAACATTTACCTTTACCTTACCTGATTTACAAAATTTCCAACAGAGGTTAGCAAATAATAGAAAGCAATACCTGAAGCCTTGCTAAATACTGTCTTAAGTAAAGAGAATGTTTTATTAAAATGAAATAATGCTTGGAGAGAGAGAGGCACAGAGAGAAGTCAAGTGCCGAAATTCATTTGATAAGCCCAACTAAAGTAAACCTTATAATCCACTGTCTGATAGTAAATCAGGCACTTATATAAATCCCATTGTTTCATTAGGTCCACTCTAGCTGGGATTAGCACTGGACTGAACTGTATTTGGACTGGAATCTGTTGCCTCTAGCTATATGACTAAAATTAAAAGACGGCAGCATATGGGAAAAATTAAGTCAAGCCAAGAATAAGAGTTTACAACTCAAGGAAGCAAAAAAGAAAAAAAAAGGAAAAAAAGAAATAGGGTGTATTCTCAGAAAGTATGAGAAGCCTGACATTAACCCTGCAGACACATAATCATTTCCGAAAAGCTAGCTGCATCTTTTTTTCCATTTACAAAAGGAAAAAAGTAAAGAACATTGCACAAAAATGGGTTATTTGTTATTTAAATAATTTTATGTCTACAGTGGTAGAAAAATGTAAATATTTATTATTATTTATTTAAAACATTTATATTTTGCCCTTCTCACCCCGCAGGGGACTCAGGGTGGAGCACAACATATATACGGCAAACATTCAATGCCGGGACATAAAACCAGAAATATAAACAAACATTGAAATCACTTATATTCACTTTAAAATCAGTTGCTTAAAAACCATCTCAGGACACCATTTTACTTTATTGCACTGTCCCAAAGGCTTGGTCCCTCATCCAGGTCTTCACCCAAAAGCAAAATGACCAGGAAGCAGATGCGGCAATGGTGGCAGAGACACTAGATATGGATCCAAGAAACAACAAAAGCAATTTATATAAGTTCCGGTAGGATAAGAACCCAGCTACCAGAGTAAACTATAGTAATCATTCCAACAGCAATATCAAATTATCAAGAAAAAAAATCATGCCAACATTAAAATATCCTGTTATCTATGAAATGCTGAAATAGGTGTAAAGCAGATTTGTTGTAGAAGGGATTTTAAGAGTGAGTTAAGAAAATCCTGATATCACCTAAATAGGTATGGGCAAACCCAGGCTCGGGGGCCAGATGCGGCCCCTTGGGCTCTTTTCTCCAGCCCTCCTCTCTCCTACCATCTTATCTTTCCTTCCTTTTCTCTTTCCTCCCTCCTTCCCTCCCTCCCTCCTTCGTTTTCACCCTTTCGTCCTTCCCTCTTTCCGTCCTTCTTCCCTCTCTCTTTCTCTTTCTCTTTCTCTTTCTCTTTCTCTTTCTCTTTCTCTTTCTCTTTCTCTTTCTCTTTCTCTTTCTCTTTCCTTCCTTCCTTCCTTCCTTCCTTCCTTCCTTCCTTCCTTCCTTCCCCTTCCTTCCTTCCTTCCTTCCTTCCTTCCTTCCTTCCTTCCTTCCTTCCTTCCTTCCTTCCTCCCCCCCCCTTTGTCTTTCCTTTCTTCTCTCTTGACTCCCTCCCTCTCTCCATTCCTTTACACCCTTCCTTCCTTCCATCCTTTTCTTCCTCACTCCCTTCTCTTTTTCCTTCCTTCTTTCCTCCTGGGAGGAGATGGTTGAGAGGGAAAACGAGAACCATGTTTCAAGATTTAAAAGGGTGTCCCATTGAGGAGAAGGGGTAAAACTGACTTTCTGCTGCTCTAGAGACCAGGGCACAAGGAAGCAATGGTTTCAAATGGCAGGGAAAGAGATTCGACCAAAAAGATTAGGAAGAACTTCCTGAAAATAAGAGCTGTTGGAAAGTGGCATAGGCTGCCTAGGAGTGTGGTGGAGTCTCCTTCTTTGGAGGCTTTTCCAC